GTGCTTCACCTTCTTTGCTTTACGTTACTGCCTCTAAAAAATCTTATCATTTCTGAATCATAAGTCTAATTGTTATTCTTTGATTCTAGTTTATACTGTAATAAACATAAAAATGGCAAAAGAATGAAGAGTTTTAAGAAAGATAGTGGTTAGCAAAACACAGGGGACCTGAAGGCTAAAATATGGGAGGAGATTTAATTTGGCAATCGGGAGTTTCCAGAAAGCTTTTCCAAGAGGAGTTTCAGGGAAGTGATGAGGGAAACACTGGGCTGCAAGGGATTGAAGATAAAATGTTTACAGAGAAAGAACAGAAAATAAGTTTAAACAACTCTTCAGGGAATATTTTTGTTGAAGAAAAACAACTTTAACTCATATTAAATAATATTAAGATATAGTCCCCCTTGAACTAATTGATAACAATAATATTTTAAAAAATACATTGACTAATTCACATCTTTTACTAAAACAAAAACCACTTACCTATACAGCATATTTAGAACATTTAGAATACAATTTTGCAATAAACTGAGACATATTGCAAATTGGAATCTCTCTATACCATATCAATTTTTCATGTTCATTCATTTATTCCGTAATTATATAAGCTACTTAGTGTTTAGTCTTTTGTAAGTGCTCATTTTCATTTATTATAATTATCATGTCTATTTTGAATGTCATATTCACATGTGAATATGAAAAATAAGTATTCTATTTATGCCCAATTATTTTATAAATGCATTGGCTTGTTTAATGTCTTTGTTCATAGAATATTTTTCTCAAGCTTTGTGTTAACTTTTTTAAGACCATAAGTCTTTTGAGAAACTGATCAAAGCTATGGACCTGCGCCCTCCAAAAATGAACATACACACATTTATACCAAAACATTCACAGCTTTTTAGCATATAATAGCATTTCATTTATTACAAGCTGATGAAGGTAGGGACATTTTTCAGAAAAAAGAAACTTCAAAACTTTTCATTTCAACTAATTCTGAAGAAAATCTTTCTAAGATATGTCACTCATTTTCTTGCCATCTTAATCAGATTATAGGTACTTTTACCTTGATGAATAGAGGCCATGGTTTTAGACATAAATTATGATCCTAAGAGTTAGAACTCATGTTCTTAAAGGTGAGGCATGAGTTGGTTGTTTCTACAGTAGGGGTTCCATACTCTGCTATATTCTTTCAGTATAGCTTTTTATTGTTTCAACATTTCAACTATTATATTTGCTCTATATGTGTTTCTAACAGCACTATCTCTGCTTCCAACTCATTCTCTCTAAACCAGGAACCAGAAAACAGAAATGCTGAAATTATATTTAAAGTTGAAATAAAATAGACTATCAGCAAGGTTCTGAGACTCTCTTATTACACTCCATGGTCTTAATGATATTTATTTTTGGCTATTCAACTCTGTCTTTCTTCAGGAGCTTATCTATACCCCAGAAAAGTGAGGTGGCAATGCATGTAGGCTTTATGAAAAAAAAATTAATCTCTTTAAGAGACATACATGATGATATCTTGTGGTTCTTTAAGTAGTTTTAATCCAACACACCCTGAAGAAAATGGCTATAAAGAATAAGCAACCTTTCTTAGTTACCTAGTCTATTTATTATTCATAAGCTGTGTGTACATGTGTGTTTAAATGTATGCACACATGAGCGTGTGTGTCTGTGTGTTTATGCTCAGTATAATGAGCTTAATGTTGAGTAATTAATATTTGTATTCAGGATGTAAGACAAATGAGTGACAACTCACACATTTCACAATTTGCTACTGTAAATTATCCTCTGTGTGTGTCCTTGTCCAAAAGCTTTGGAAATATCAGACAAAACAGTATAATGGATGTTTTACATACATTAACATCAAATTGTATAACATGAAGAATATGAATATAATTGGTAAAACATTATTTCAGGGTGTGTCTATGAGGATATTACTGGAGATCAATATTTGAATCAGTAGACCGAGTAAAGAAGATCTCCCTTACTGATGCAGGCAGGCATCTCCTGAGAGCTGAATAGAACACAAAGGCAAAGGGTGGATTTGCTCTCTCCTTGAGCTGGGGCATCCATCTCCTGCCCTCACACATTGGTGCTCCTGTTTCTAAGACCCTCAGGTTTGGACTGGAACTACATTATCAGCTTTCCTGGCCTCCAGCTTGCAGACAGCAGATGGTGGGTCTTCTCAGCCTCCATAATTGCATGAGCCAATATCCCCAAAATAAATATTTCCTATATATCTATTTATATCTTATTGGTTCTGTTTCTCTGGAGAACCTAACTAATATATGGATACACTTTGGAAAAGTCCAAAATATTATTGAGAATAACCTTCTTCTAGTCATTAAACTATAGTAAGTCAGTCTCTGGGCTAGTATTGGAAGGAAATCAACAATAAAAAAGATCTCTTTTAGGCTGTATAATAATGTTCGGATATTTATTCACAGAATATAACCTTTTTAAAAACCACAATTAGTTATACGTAAGTGATCAGAAGTGATCAAATCACACTGTCCTTACACAAGACTGAAGACAGTATAGGACAATATTGGCTTTATCTGCAGTACTAAATTGCTTTGAGTTACTATATTTAATATACTTCTTAAAGTTTAGAGATGATAAAGGAAGTAGGCTAACCTTGAAAACAGAATCTTAATGCAAAAAATACACAAAGGTTTCAAATACATAATTTTGGCAAGTCAAAAGAAAGGTAAAGAGTAATAAATGTTCATAATTTATGGAATTGTCATAGTAAATTATACTAGACTATAGAGGATTTCGTATACTGTTATTCAAACCGTGTACTTAAGTCTAAATTTAAGCTTACTAGACTCAGAGATTGGCATTCCTTTTGTTACAGTTTTTTCCAAACTAAGCAAATGCCATGTATCAATCTTTTTTTCTTTTTTTAAGAATTTTTTTATTATTTATTTATTTGAGAGAGTGCGTGCAGGGGAGGGGAGAGGGGCAGAGGGAGAGGTAGAGAGAGGCCTAAGCAGACTCCGCACTAAACATGGAGCCAGATGTGGGGCTCAATCTCATGATCCTGAGATCACGACCTGAGCAGAAACCAGGAGTTGGATGCTCAACCGACTGCACCACTCTGGTGCCCCTCAATCTGATACTTTTACTTAGCAATGACTTTTAGAATTAGATGTTAACATTTACAAAAAAGAATTAAAGAAACAATACCTCTGTGTGTTTCCCCCTTAGTTTTTCTTGGAAACTACTTTGTGAATGGATTCATCTGGCACAACAGCCTTCGTGGGTCCTCCTCACCACAGAAGTCATAAAGCCCTTCAGAGAGTGGTTCCAGCTTCAATGACCAGCATCCCCAGAATCTCTCTAGGTTTTTCCTTCCCTGTGCCAGATAACTCATAGCCCAATATACTATCGCTTTTCCTACAGAGTTTATCTTTCCTCTCTTTGCCTAGCCACTTCTGGAATGCACATTTAATTTGGATTTTCTCTGATTTCTGAATTTATTCTTCAACAAAGATACTATTTTTGGTCCCCATTTCTTCTCATCACTCAATGCTTAGAGCAAGGGACAGTTCACTCCATTCCTGAACCAGCACAAACTGCTAAACACCCACTCAGAGGGAAAGTCTGGGCCCTCAAATTGACTCAGAACGTGGATTAAAACATAAATCTAACTGAAAGGACTTATGCTGCATGAAGATGGTATATTGGCATGGAAATGTCCCCATTTAAGGACTGCATTGCATAGGTCTTCCCCAACTAAAGAACATTACCAGCAATTAGTTATTATCCATTACAATCTGAGGTCATGCTGATGGAAGATATCTTAGGATCACATGAGTCCCTATAGGACTAAAATATCTTCAGAAGACACCAAGTGTAAACTGAACCAGCAAAAGCCTTAATCATACACACATACATATATATGTATATACATATATATATAATATTATATTATATATTATATGTTTCTGTGGTCTGTACTAGTTGAACTCCCCTAGTTAATCACTCCACCAAGTTAGGTATCTTCCTGATCCAGAAACTAAAGCTTAAACATGCCGTGAATAAGAATCTGAGGCAACCTATGTTTATTTAAACACATTATCATCTATAGTTCAGTGGTCTTCAGATGAAGACTACTAAAGCATGACAAATGACAGAAAATCTTAATCACAGCAAGATTATGAGAGGAAACTTTTAAAGAAATGAAAAACTGTAAACCTGTATCAACTCAATGCATATACTATTTAAAAGACTATTTCTCTGCTCTTGCCATGTCTTTTACTACAAAGAGTAATCTGCCATTTGGTTAACATTAGTGTTGTTGGCTCAGTGACACTGTAAACGTATGCACAGGTTTCGCTCCTCTGTGTAATTCCTCCCCATTGGAGACAGTTATTAATTACTATTGATGCGCTCTGGCAATACACAATCCACTACAGAGGGACGGGAGAGATCCGCTGTGCCTGGCAGTCCCTCAGGAAAACTGCTGTGAAAAGCAAGGGCACCACGACCCTGACAGGTATCCTGAAACCTGTACAACCCGTGCTGATTCAGCTCCTCCCTGGGACACCTAGCAGCAACAAAAAGTAACTTGGCATCCTCATGAACAATGTATGGAAGATTACGAAGACTCACTTTTAAAAAAAACACACAGGAATATATATTATATATTTTCAACATTAGGTCAGATACCAATGAACATTTGGCAAATGGAAAAAGCAGTCCATATTCTCCTCGACATGTGCATGTGCAAATATAGACGAGATAAAGACGCCAAGAATCCATGCAAGTGTGTGTGTGTGTGTGTGTGTGTGTGTGTGTGTGTGTGAGTGAGTATAATGTACATGTGATTCGGCCTATCTAAAAATCAGACACTAAGTATCCATAATACATTACTTACATATACCCGGAGATATAAGCAATGGATATTATACTTAAAATATATGGCGCAGATACTTGCAATTTTTTTTTAAATTTCAGTAAGATTTAGGGAAAAAAATCCTATTTCTTACCTACATTTCCAGTCATTAAGTATGAATTCTGAAAGTCCATCATCCCCATTCCAACAATGTGTATAAAATCTTCAATCACCTGCATTAACTCTATTGAGCCAGGATAAATCTACAAAAAGAAGCAAAGATTAGAAGGAATAAAAGTCTATATCATGGAATATATCACTGGAATAACAAAAACTACATAATGAGGTCACAGATGAGCTCTGATTTATTTGAAGAAATTTCTGCAATTGGCAGCAGTTGTATTTTTGAAACACTAGTTGAGAATGATACTAGGTGTCACAGGGCAAGAACTTTGAAAGTGATATGATGCAGTGATTAATCCTCCATAAATCTAAGGAAACTAAAAATATCTAGCAGATTGTATACTTAGAAATTACCCGTCTTTACTTTTGATGGGATCCTTTCCCCACTTAAATATAACATAGAACAAACACTGACATTGGGGACTTCTCACATTTTTTACTTAGCATCTATATGATGGCCACTGAAAGAAAAAAAAATTTTATTGCCATCATGAAGATATTTACAAACTATTAAGTTCACTGCAAAGTAACTTTTGTACCTTGGGAGAAACATTTACTTCTACAACTGTAGTAGCTCCTGAATGAATAATAATGCTCACAGTAATTTCAGGATCATGCCAACAGTTTTAGTGCGGGTGCTTCACAGGTACACATACATAGCAAACCCAACACCACGCCACCTCACACGCTGCACACCGAGGAGTCCTTGCTTAAAGACAACCGGATTCAGGCATAGTGTGTGGGAAGTGAAGGTCATTTAGAAGGTCATATGAATGTTACTCTGTGTCACCCATAATACTTATACAGTCAGCCTGCATTAGATAACCACAGTAGAGCAGAACGTCTTGAAGTTAGGTTCATTTCTTTTAGCCATTCAGCACGATCACCCCTTGAAGCCGTGAAAAAATTAAGTGGATTAGAATTGTAGTGGTTTTGTCTTTACAAAGGCTGGTGCAGGAGGGGAAGAGACAGTCTGATTAGCAGAAGTATACAGTCAGAGCTGGAAGGGGATCGGAGTAAGAGGGAGACACGTTGGGCAGGGCAAATAGCAGGTGCGGTGTGTAAAGTTTACAGGAGATTTCGGCTGTGCCCCGCTAAAATTCAGACACTGAGGATGCATCATATAGGTACATGTATTTGAAGGCATGAACAATTGACTATTACACTTAGAAATGTGTAGCATGGGTACTTGTACATTTTTTAATTTGGGGAAAATCCGGGAAGAAATGTTATTTCTTACCTAGTTTCCAATCATTAAATATGAATTCTGAGAGTTCATCGTCATTATCATTCCAAAAATCTGCATGAAATTTCCATCAGTTCCAAGCTTTCTGCTACTACTGTATTTTTTCTGCGGTTTTTGTGTAGGTGTATATGAGTACGTGTCGTGTAAGGGTAAATACAGATTAAAAATAAGAGGCTTAATTCTCCCTGCTGAAAATGAGAGACTCCCTCTCCCAGCCCCACATCCTTCATCCTTTGTTCTTAGGGCATTTACTTTTGAAAAATAATAATTGTTAAGTTCTTTCATTGTCTCTTTGAAATGTATGTAAATCTTTTTAAAAAGCTAAATAGACTCTTACAGGGAAGACCCAGGGATGTTTTTCAGAGAGAGAGAGAGACAGAGGTGATAACAAGGAAGACAGGACCTCGATCTCTCCGTTTCTATGGGAGGGGAGGAGCGTTAACTTTCAGCAGACACTTGCTCTAAGTTGCAAAACTACCTTCATGAAGATAGAAAAAGCTTATTTTTTTTTTCCTTTGGATAAAGCCAGTTAACTAACAAGTGGTCACCCCATTACCAGGTGAATTTAAGATGAACTATGTGCGGCAAATGGAATTCACCCTTTGTGCCACAAACCTGGAGACTCATTTACCATGTAGCTGCTTTTATAACAATACCTTTTAGTAAAAGCTACAAAATAGTTGTTGTTGTTGTTTTTTAACTTCAAGTAGTTATCTTTATTTGTTTCTAATCCAGTAGTTATCTTTAAAAAGGCATCAAGGATTATCACTACTAAAAAATATTTAAAAGATAAGAATATAGCTAACTCAAAATCACAAGTAGATAGATGGATTAGGGATTCAGGATTTTCCATTGACGAGAAGTTGTACACCACTCACTGTTTGTTCAAGTTGGGACCTCACAGTAAATAACGCCATCTGATGAACTGCGGTCTTCTTTTAAAAAGGGGTATTATACATTTGCTCTAAATATAACCATAATTAATAGTCTCCTGCATTCTGGAAAGATGTGCTTAGCCTCTGCAGCTGTATTCTAGGGAAAGAAATCATTTCCTTCCAGTGAGTGAATGAGGCTCTCCTCTAGAAGAAAGCCAAGGACAAATATATAATTCAAGCTAGCAGAAAAAGATAGATTCAGGGTCTTACACTGAGGACTGATCTTTTTTCTTGCTATGGCCAGAAGCACAGAATTTGTACCTGATAATGAGGTAGACCCACACTGGACTATTTTTAGAGCCCCTATCATAAAAGGAATAAAAGGGCATGCTTCGCTCCTGAAGACCGAGAACATGATTATAAGAGGAGAAAGGGATAGATGGTTCACTTGAACCTCAGAAAATATTCTTATTTTCAAGATTGCATTGTTTTCTCAGAATTAGCAAGGGTCAAGCAGAAGACTTAAAGAATTTTAATACACTGTTAAATTAAATTTACACAGGATTTTTAAAAACATGCTTATTCTCCCTTTCTTAACCTCTAACCCACTTTTTCTGTAATTTGGAAAAAAAAAAGTGTTATTAACCATACATATGTCAGTACAGCACAAATGGCAGTGAAAGGTATTTTACAACAATAATTAAACCAGTAAGACCACTTGCTACACTGATCGTGCATAGCAGAAAGAGAAAAAAAAAAACAGAATTCAAATTTTCTTATGAGAACTCATTTTTACAACTCTTGGCTTTGAATCCAAATGCACATCTGCATATCTGATCCAGATTATACATAGTGTTGTAGTAAATGCAAATGATTTTACTTGTTATTACCCCACAGTTCGGTTTGTAATATATGTTTTTGGATTTGCTGTTTCTCCCATAGTCTGTAGGCAGGAAAGAAACTGGTTGGTAAGGCACATAGTTACTATGTATTGATACCTCAAAGTTAGGAATGACTTAAACCAGTTCAGTTTTTCCCACATTTATAATATCATTCAGTCCATTGATTGTTAGGATAAAAGAGATCACTTATTTTCTCTAAAATTAGTAAAATGTAATCTAGGATGACTTTTAGAAGTCTCCTTTTATGTTCTTGGGATAGCAAGCCATTAATTTCTTCACATATTTTTTAAGCTTTCCTTAGCCGATTTCATTTTAAGTTTTGAAACAGCTCCGGCCTTACCTGTTGTGCATCCTCCCATTTTTCCTTGTTTTCTTCGTCTAGAAGGTTGCTAACTATTTGAAAGAAGTTCTGCAAATTAAATCGGATAAAAGATTCAATGTTACAGGAGGGAATATACTTTTCAAAAACATCCATTTGAACTGATTGTGTGGTAAGAGTCTAAACACTTTGCCATATTGCTTTATGATCCTAACATATTATTCTAGAAGATCTCTGAGGGCCCTTTCTCAGCACCATACTTCTGGGATTTCTCTATAACTTCACATATACACCTCAGAAGACATCAGAATAGGGAAAATACTTATGTTTACTTACAATTGTATCTTCCATTGTAGTCTCTGTATTGTATTCTGTCATGCTATCACCAAATTATTCCTCACAAATAAGTTTTCTTCCTTCAGTAGTGAAAATCCTTTGTGTATGTCTAATTACAAGTTATCCAGTAATTGTGAACCATGATAGCTAGTTATAGTGCTGTTCTGAAGAACACTGTAGTGAAGACACAGACTGTGGGTAAGGCTGAGGCATGTTACAGGCCTCCTCAGTTGGATCCTGGGTCTGCGCTTCCCGGCTGTTTTTAATTTTTACAACTACCTCTTGCAAAGATGACATGGGATTTTCCAAGTACCTGGCATAGAGCACATGGCTAAGTGCTCAATAAATCCTAGCTATTTCAAATAATTATTCTTTATTCTGCCTTTTGCCAGCAAGCCAAAATGGAAGAATGAATAGACACAGTAGCATGTTCCTATTCAAGGGCCAAATCCTCATCATCACCCTTGTGGCCTAACTGCTGAAGACCTACTGGCTTGACTTTAGCCTAGCAGCACTCCCAGTGAGTCTTTGGTTTTCCCTTTCCGTGCAGACAGGCGGGTTTGGGCACTCATACATAGGCAGAGACTCAGTTCAGTTCATCTGCATTAGTACCCATTTCACCTACGAGGGATCTTGACCAGAGAGAGACCTTCTTGTCCTCCCACACTACACTGTGTCTTCAAAACACAGGAGCCAGGAGAAGAAGATCAGATGCCTGTTGAAAACGAATAGTGACCTGGGGTCGCAGGCGACCTAAGAAGTGCAAAGTGAAGCCACGACATTTATCTTAAGCTACATGGACAGCGGTCCCTCCGTTGTGTCCTCAGAGCCCATCTCTTCTGCTTGGTTTGTATGTAATTTAGCAGGAGCACTGCCTCATACTGATACATCAGCTCAGGACAAGACCCCCTCGAGGGGGAAATAATTGCAATTTTTTAGCCTCATCAGCCTTCCTCCCTAGCCAGCTTTTCAAAGAAGGTCTTTATTCAAATTCCAAATAAAGTCATCTGCATGTTTTTAGAAGAAAAACCAAGCTTCTTCACTTCCTCTTCTCTTGTGCTTTGAAGCTGTGAGTATCTATATTTAATTGCCCTATTTGTGCTATTTATTTTAATAGTTCCTGGTAATCACATGGTTGGAACATGTTTCAAGTCATAACCTCTGTAAAAGTTACAGAATATTTTATGCGACTCTTTAAAAAACTGCAAGTCTGTTTTAGACCTGTTTTCAATTCGTTTAACCTTTTTGTACTGCCAGCCATTTTTTCCACTTAAAATTTCCTGGTTGGAGTGATAACATTTTAAGGGCTTAGTCCATTGAGCTGTAACTCTACCTATGGGCAGAAAGAATTAACCTTCAGAGTTCTCCAATTGCCTATGCCTGGTTAACTCAGTAGGGGACATGCTGCTAATGAGGCAAAAGTTGCAGATTTCATCCCTGTCCATGCCAGTTAGCTGTGCTGAGGTCCACGACCACAGTCTGCATCCTAACCCCTGCCAGCTTTCATACAAATGCATGCCACCGCTAACAAGAGACACCAAGAGAATGGGAAGCAATTTGTGCAAATGCATCTCCATTTCTAAGAAAACATTTCACAAAGCATGTTTTACTGATAGTGGGTCAGTGATTCTGCGCTGTACATGAAGGCCAGGGAGCACACACAATTCCTTGATCAAAGTGATACATTCAGAGTTCAATTTTTTTTTCTTAAAGTGCCAAAGGGCATATACAAAAACCACAAATTACTAAAATATACATTCAACTAGGCAAACAGAGAGTGTAAGAAATGTTTTTGTATCACCTTCCAAGGCAATGAGACGGAATTTATTAATCAGGGTGGAAAAGTGGTACAGAATAAAGTTCTCCTATCTCCCTATCAGTTGGATTGGGAATGATCGGCTGTGAGATCAAGCAGGGCACAGTGAGCTAAGCCTGAAAATCCTAAGCACAGACACATACTTTTGAGAAGTTGTAGGGCCTAATTAATGGATGGGAAGCAGCTGTGGATAGTTAACCCTGGTCCTCAGTTTTAAATCCAGCAACAACCAATGAAAAGGCCTGCTCTTCCAAAAATACAGTTTACTCTTTGGCAAACACAGCAAAGCCTCCCAGCCCTACAACTACCACTATCCCACCCCTGGCAGAATGCATATGGTCATAGAAATGCTGCTTTGTTCAGCAAAAGAACAGCATAAAGAAAGTTATAAAATATAACCCAGGCAGCAAAGCGTAGTAGGCTTTGGCAAGGAAGAAGACTGGGGAAAGGTACATCAGTAGGTAAGTATTTCAATAGCTCAAAAGAACAATTACAAAGACCTAAAGGACAACAGTGGACTTGAGAATGGAAAGGGGAGGGAAGACATGGAAAATATTTGAGAAGCATGAATGTATCTACTTATTTATTTACTGAACACCTACTAAATGCCTGGCAGTGTTGTAAGTGCTGCGAATACCATAGTGAACAAGGCACATGAGGGTTCCTACTCTCATGGAGCTTACACTGTTATGGGTACTGGAAAGCAATAAATAAGTAAATAAGATGATTTCAGGGGGTGATACAAAAATAACACAGTTTATGGGAATAGAGAGTGACTGGGTTGGGGAGGGGTATGTGCATGCTTATGCGAGACTGCTTTGGGTTGAATGTTCAGCAGGAAACACTTTTCCAATGAGGTGACATTTGAGCATAGAACAGAGTGGTAAGAAGGAGGCAGCCGTGGGAAGACCTGAGGAAGAGAGTTCCAGGAAAAATGGGAAGAGAAATTACAACTTCCTAGGGTAGAGGGGACAGCATGGACAAGTTTTTTTTTTTTTTAAAGATTTTATTTATTTGACAGAGAGAGAGACAGCCAGAGAGGGAACACAAGCAGGGGGAGTGGGAGAGGGAGAAGCTGGCTTCCCACGGAGCAGGGAGCCTGATGTGGGGCTCGATCCAGGATCCTGCCTGAGCCGAAGGCAGACGCTTAATGACTGAGCCACCCAGGCGCCCCTGGACAAGTTTTAAAAAACAGAGAAAGCTGGTATAGCTGGCGTGGTCTTAAAACAGGGGGAGGGATGTGGGAGAGGAGGGAGACTATGAACACAGGATGTAAATGATAGAGGTCAGAAAAAGTGGGGCCTTGATCCCAGGCTGTAGTTCTATGACATGACTTTCATTAGAGATAAAAGATCTGCCTTTGGCTGCTGAGTGGAAGACAAAGTGCAGAGGAGTGACAGGGAAAACAAGGAGGTCAGAAAGGAGTCTGTCTTGCTTATTGAGGCCGGAGATGATGCTAGCTTGGTTTAGGGAAACAATATGACATGGTGACAGACTGCACAGGAGGGAGAGTACAGCATCAAAGATTAGTCTTTGGCTCCCAGTTCAGGCAGTTTAGAATGATGACGCAGTCAGCCATGCTAAATACCAAAGAAGAAATAGCAGTGTTGCAAAAGAAGATAGTTTCATTTTGTTCAGTTTGAGTATGAAGAGTCTATAATATATCTAAGAGAAGAGGCCCATTGGCCTGTTTTAACTACAAGTTGGAAGCTTAAAAGGTAAATACTTGTGACTCATTAGTTCTAGTTGAAAACTGGAGCCTTTGGGGGAAAAAAAAAGATAAGTAGGAATAGAGTTGAATGGGATGAAGTCAAGGTTAAAGCACTGGTGACAGACTAGATAGGAAGAGGAATAAGTAAGAGAGATGGGAGATAAGAAGGTAGGAAGAGAAGCAGGATTTAAAGGTGATAGAATAAAAGAAATTCAGACAGAAGACACTCCACTGGGGAGATTAATCTAGAGGAGACAGACTAAGCATTTAACAAGGGTAAAAATCCAGAGAGGGTTCAAGGCGTAGTTCGGTACATCTCATGTATTTTTTCAGCCTCTATGCACTTGGCCAACGACACATGCATGTGGGAGATACAAATCCATGAATACACCCAGATTATAGACAAAGACATGGATAACATATGTCCAACTTCCTCTGACCTGGCTGACTCTACTTCTTAGTCTTCTATTCCAAAAAACATACATAAGTGAAATTGAGAAACTTTATTATACAAATAATCTTGGGTTTTTCCTAATGTACTTTTTAAAAAACTAACCACCCCTAAAGAGTACTTGAACTTATTTTTTTTTTTTTTATAACAGGTGAATAGACAAAATAACTCATAACTAATTAGGACAAAGAGTCATGACACTGTGGTTTAAATCTTTTATCTAGAATATCTACCCAAGCAGCACATCAACTAGCCATTGACAAAGAGAAACTATCAAGGTTCAGGAAGGCAGGAAACTATAATCCAGGCTGCCCCCTGGCAGGTTCTGTGACCAAGATATATAGGGAATATGATACAAGAAACTGAGCCACTGGAAAACCAGGGGATGAGCTCCGGGCCAAAAGGATTAGGGTGTCAAGGTCAATAGGTCAGTAGTGGGATCCACAGCAGGTTGGACGACCTGACCTGCCAAGCTGTGGTCAGAAGGCTCCTCCTGCCAGCAGAGCTGGACTACCCCAGCTTGACCACTGTGATCTGCCAGATCTGGAGGAATAGAAGAGCATATTACTGAAGCAAATAGCCCCTACTGTTCACTGGGTTAGAGCAAAAAAAAAAAAAAAAGAAAAGAAAGAAAGCCAGAATCTTAAAGGATATCTTTGTTTTTTTTTTTTCTTTCAATCACAAATCTCACAGAGACTCTGACTCATTTTGAGAATGACATCAGAACATCATTCCGGGAACACTGGCTGTCTTTCACACTAATCTCATTGCTCTGC